GGACGATGAATCTATTGACAATGGAGAGAGGGGTGGTGTAGAGTCTGATGCAGATGAATTTGATTACTCGGTTAATAAATTGCTGTTTGTGCTGTTTTATGAACACGAATGATTAATCAATGATTCATGAAGCAAATGTCAACTATGTATGCAGTTATCTTTAGATTTCTAGGACTAATGTTGTGGTTTTGATACAGAGTGACAAGGTAGTAGACACTACAGCTGCTCAGGTTAGAAGAGGACAAGACATCCAGGGAATCCCTTGGGATAACCTTAGCATCACCAGAGAAAGATATCGGCGAACTAGGCTTGAGCAATACAAGAATTATGAAAATATCCCTGGTTCAGGAGACAAGTCAGGGAAGGTAACACTTGATATCTTTAAAGAAGACTCTTTGATTTCTATCGATTTTTCCTCCAGTCATGGTCGTTTTTTCAGAAGCATAACAGTATAACACCATTTAACCTGTCTATTATCTGCATGCAGTATTGTAAGAATACAAAAAAAGGATACTCATTTTATGAATTTAAAAAGAATACAAGATCAGTAAAGTCAACTATTCTTCATTTTCAGGTAGGCTGTTTCTATTCTGGTTTCTATGAAGTAGCATGCTTTAAGTTTTAGGGTACACTGTGACATATTGCTGCATATTGACTCTGTTTATTCTATTTCTATGAAGTTGTTAACAACTTGTTACTGTAAATAAAAAAAAGGACATTCAAATATATAAGCAATTTTGCAGAAGTTCTCTTAAGTCTACAGCGCTCTCCCTCCAATGAAAGCCCGCTGTTTTGACTGAGAACGGAACATGAGCATACCATTACTATTACTACCTATTTTGGTGCCTAATGCTCCTTCTGTTGAAATTGTAGACAAATTTCTTAAAATCTTACAACAGATTCAAAATTAGTGAAAACAATACATATAGTGTACATTTCTGATATGTAGCTCATGCAGAGTTCTGTTGACAGTCGCTGACATTATTTAATTTTTAAATGATTTTTCAGTTAAGGAATTTAGTATGGGCTACATCGAAGCATGATGTATACCTTATGTCTCAGTTTTCGATAATGCACTGGTCCTCTATGACTTGCAAAAGTTCAGAAGTTCTTGATGTTTCAGGGCACGTTGCACCATCAGAGGTTAATATCCCTTGTGTAAATGAGCTCCATAGACCTCTGATCGTTCATTGGATAAATGTATGATAAAATTGATTAATCACGATCTTAATCTTCCAAGTTATCACTTTTTACTGTCAGAAACATCCTGAAAGTCTGTTAGAAGGATTTACTCACACACAAGTCAGTACTCTTGCAGTGAGAGAGAAGCTTCTAGTTGCCGGTGGATTTCAGGGTGAACTTATTTGTAAGGTAATTTGATGATTTGCTTGTTTAAAGGGATGTTTACTTTTGTTATCTGTACTAGATACATTTGTAACTTGTAACTGTAAATTGTGCTCTTGGATCTCTGGACATTTTATGAAATATGTTATGATGTTCCACATTTTAGTTATATGACTGATCAAAATTGTTATTATAATACTCAGGCAATCCTCTTCCGTTGAGTTAGCCTTTTGGTTTTGGTTAGGTCCCAATTTGTTCTTAATATGGTATCTAAGCCATTATTGTTAGGATCATGGTTAAATAGTACAATCATAGGATCCTACTAGTTGAACTGCCTCTTCCAGGCTTTCATTCATCAAACCTCTTATTCTTATTTGATTTTGGTGGAGTACTATACTGTTGATACTCCTTTCTTCATTATGCATCCTAGTCTTTAATTTTTCAGCTTCTCTTCACAAGCATTGGTTGGTTAATCTTTTCCTTCGTTTCATTGTCTATTAGTCATTTGCAAATGTATATTTTCATAGATTATTGCAATCAGACTGTACATGCTTATGCTTTATAGTTACTCTGCCAGATGCTGCTAACTTGTCCTTCATAGGAATTGTTCATGGTTTTAGAACCATCAACAGATATCAAGATCTTATCTCCTTCTTTGTTACTGGAATGCAGCACCTAAATCGACCTGGTGTTAGCTTTTGCACGAGAACAACTTTTGATGATAATGCTATCACCAATGCCATTGAAATTTATACTTCTCCTAGGTATATAGTTTTTCTTCTTCCAGTTATTTTGCCATATGAATTGTGGATGTAGTCTTCAAGTCTAATGTACTTCTTTTATGATTTTTAGTGGCGCAGTTCATTTCACAGCAGCTAATAACGATTCTGGAGTCAGAGACTTTGATATGGAGAAATTTCAGCTTTCTAACCATTTTCGTTTTCCCTGGCCTGTGAATGTGAGTCCTGACATTTTTTTTCTTCATTTCCCTCTCCTCTCCAGGGCTGGTAGATGGATACTTTAATTTTGTTCTTTTGGAAATTGCGTTTCAATTTGTCTTGCACTGAGGAGCAATTTTTCCATGGGATATGTTGCCTACATTGGCAATATGGATGGGAAAATTGGCAGTATTTTTTGTCTATTCCCAGTCATCTCTAACTACTACCTTGAAATGTTTAAACAATTTATAGAATAAATGGAGAATGGGAGTGTCAATGCTCTGCCTTTGGAATATGGTCATCTAACAAGCCAGTAGTAATATGGATAACCTTTCTGTTGGGTCGTACATTTAGTGGTTTTGTACCATTCCCTTGCTCTCTAATTTATTTTCTGTCTCCATTTACTGCAGCACACTTCTCTCAGTCCAAATGGTAAACTACTACTAATTGTTGGAGACAATCCTGAAGGTATGTTGGTGGACTCCCAAAACGGAAAGGTAACTCCTTTTTGCCCAACAACCAATCAAATGTTTTTTCAGTTGTATCCCAAGAGTGCTTATGATGGAAATTTTTTTAATATGATATTTTTTATTCTGCAGACAGTCGTTACCTTGTCTGGGCACTTTGATTACTCATTTGCGTCATCATGGCATCCTGATGGCATGACCTTTGCCACTGGAAACCAGGATAAAACCTGCCGAATTTGGGACATGCGGAATTTATCCAAGTCAGTGGGTGTACTAAAGAGCAACCTTGGAGCCATTCGTTCAATCAGGTATTCCTCAGATGGCAAGTATATGGCTGTGGCAGAGCCTGCAGATTTTGTACATGTCTATGATGTAAATGGTGGGTATGAGAAGGAACAGGAAATTGATTTCTTTGGTGAGATATCGGGAATATCTTTCAGTCCGGACACCGAGTCCTTGTTTATTGGCGTCTGGGATCGCACTTATGGTAGCCTTCTTGAGTATATCCGGCGTCGGAATTATACATACCTTGATGCACTAATTTAACTTCAACATTCAAGGAGCAATAAATGACAACTTACTTTAGCGTCTGATTGTGATGAGTTGGATTATGTATAAATTAAGTATCCTGCTAATGTTCTCTATAAAGTAGTGGTAGGATGCGTTGTTATCAGTGTGTGGAAAGGGAGGGAATGTACAGAAGGCTAGAAGGTGATGTTAGTGAAAATGGGATGGAAAGTAAATATGTTGTATGTGACTGGTTTGTGATGCTGAGAATATCAGTATTTACTGTAGAGAGCTTCTGTCTGTGGATGCAGAGTATTATGGAGCATATAATTCATGATGTTCTTTGCTTCTTGCCAGTCACTTGTCTTGCTAATGTTTTAGTTGAAAAGTAAATTATTAAAGGGAAAATAATGGATTTTTCTCTTTGGGGATATAGCATTTAGTGTTTCGCATAAAAATTATAACAGCTACCTAAAAAGTGGTGGGTTTGGAAGTAGAAAAAGTTTATAATTTCGTTGTGTATTTGAATTATAATTAGATTTCTGACGGAAGAGTGCACTATTTTTGTGTTCGTGGGCTATTCCTTAAAAATATGGAAGTAATCTGTCACCTCTGAACCATAAAAGCGATTTTCTTCAAGGTAAAAATATAGATATGGCCGAAGATCGTCGAAAGGTTGACACAGTACCATTGTTAAATGGCAACAGCTATTAAAATTTTGCTTCTCAACCTGGTCTGACATCGAAACTTCAGAACACTATTTTGGTAAAGGTAGGAGATATGTCGCTACAAAAGAAATGCTTAATTTTATGGTTAACAATGAATATAAAAAGATGTATTAATTAAATTAACAGTTCTGAGTTTAGTTTTATCTAACTGTATGCAAATGTTGATTACACCTGTGGTCACTAGCAAGCAATTATAGTACTCATTCAAGTGGCAATATAAGCTAGCCAAATTAAAACCACAAACAGAAAGCAATAAAATATCTGTGATCCAAAACTAACCAATAAAAGCAAGCCATGTCATGAGGCAAATCTTTATTCCATGGCTTACAATCAAAATGCATCTTATCTATGTTTCCAACCACCCCTTTTGATGGTATATGATCCCTTCTCATATATGCTTCTATCCACCAACTCCTCCATTCTGCACAATTCTCTTCTCTTTGCTACCTGCAAATCCACACCAAAATCAAAAATGGCAGCCTCAGCTTCATCCATGATATCAACTTCTGCAGCCTTATCTGCCACCATCCAAAAGCACCATGTTGTGAAGCCCTCCAACGTGTGCTTTCAGGGTCTGAGACCCCTCACAAGGTCCACAGGCTCAGCCAGAGTGAGCACCTCCAAAAGGGTCCCTCGTGGTAATGGTGTTGTGAAGGCTGAACTCAACTCAGCCCTCGTGATAAGCCTCAGCACTGGCCTCTCCCTCTTCTTGGGGAGATTTGTGTTCTTCAACTTCCAAAGGGAGAACGTGGCAAAGCAAGTCCCTGAGCAGAACGGGCTCACACACTTCGAGGCTGGTGACACACGTGCCAAGGAGTATGTCAGTCTCCTCAAATCCAATGACCCTGTTGGATTCAACATAGTTGATGTCTTGGCTTGGGGTTCCATTGGTCATGTTGTTGCTTACTACATCTTGGCCACCACTAGCAATGGCTATAATCCTGCATTCTTTTAAGTCATCGCCATCATCTTCCAAACTGCTTCTTCCCTTTTATCTTTATCATTTTTCTTTGTAGTTGTATTGTAATGTCATCATGTATAGGTTCTCTCTAAGATGCCAACAAGTTCAGCATATTCTAATTTCGTCACTCTTTTCGGCTGCAATTTGATTTGCTATGATTAATGAAAAATGGGACTTCTCTATATATGTTGAATTTGAGCTCTCTTAATTATGTTCTGCTGTGTCTGTTTTTCGTTTGCTGTGTTAAATTCTGTGGTCGTGTGTGCAATTATGCATTCAGAAATTAGCTCACGAAGTTTTGTGATCTTGTTGGCATGCGTTTGTTTGTTGATATCAAATTTATTCATAAAGTATTTTGTGGACATCTTTTGAATCTTGACTTCATAGTTTACTAATTAATTACCTATTTATAAACAGTTATAAACCATATTTGAAAACCTTAATTGGTATGCAATTTGGTGATGTTCATGTTATTGTGAGAAATTGTGAATAAATACAATCATAATTAGGGTAACAGTTGACCCTAAAACTTCGAAGTTGCGATTGAAATAAGTTATAAACCTTTTAAAAACTTAATTGATCACAGGTGAGGAAATTAGTTGAGATTTTCGGGCACGATTATGGGAACTTAGTACTGTAATTTGTGCGAAATTAATTATAATTGGGAGCTCCGATGACAAAATTATCAAAGGCTTTTAGAATTGGAAAGTCTTGGAATCATAGTATTTTCTCTTGTTTCTAACAAGATACATTATCTATCTGAAAAATATCTTGCAATGATGGACTCTAAGATTTTTGCGAATGGGGTTGTTTCATATTACTCATCTTTCTCACATTAGTGAGTGAATATTGAACTTGAAATCGAGTATTTTGTACTGTGGAAGCACCATTTTATTTATTTGTTTTCTGGTTATTGGGTCTTACAATTGAAAATTAAAATCTATACGAGGAAAAAGAGTTCGTTGATTTTATATACTTGATGTCTTCTTCACCGTTCCTCTTTAGCTTCAAATTGGGATGGGTTAAGTTCCACCACTATAAGCATTAGGATAAGGATTTTTCTGCACAAGAGTGAAACATCAATATAAATATATCAAAGCATCATTCTAATACTCTTCAAACCCCAGTTGCAGCCAAATAATTTATTTATAAATAGGGGGAATGAGGGAAAAAAGGATAAATAAATTAACGATGCAGTATGCCTTTGAGATTGTGCCTGTTATTAGTTTCACTGTAATATTTGGTAAGGATTTATTCTGTAAGTGTTAAATCAATTCAACTTATCATGACTCAACCTGTTGAGAAACCAATCAGCTACACTAGTGGAATTACCCAAACTAAAATAGAAGTGCCATAATCAGTTCACAAATCCTGTTTCATTGATTCCTAAAATATTTTGCACTCACTAAGGGGAATTATTGAGTGATCAGAGAACAATAACAATAACCAGCATTTCGTTTTAGGTGAGGTTGGCTATGACATGGATCAACTAATTGTATCAAGCATTAACAGAAAAATGAATTGGAAATACTAAAAAATTGCATCAAACTTCCTCGGTAGTATTTCAACTTATTATACTTGGAAGCCTGGCTATAGAACATGTATAAAGATATTTAAACGGGCACTTTATTTTTAAGCATCAAAAGCTGCTGATTGAAATATTGTTACAATTCGGGGAAAAATAGCTTACACAAGAATACAGAGCCCACCTGTTCTTAACTGCTTATTTAACATTTATTCCTCGTCCACCTACAGTAAAAAAATTGATAAGACTCGATTATAAACACCAAAGATTAAATTGAAATTGCATTCAATTAATTGAAATCCCAAACTACAAGAGAACAAAATCTTTGCTTAGGAATTCAAAAACAACACGAAAGGAAACTGACATAGAGGGCTTCCCTAACATTGAGAGAACTCCTCAGTCTCATCTTAGAATTCAAAACAGAGCTATCTGTTCCTTTGTAGATAACTTGTTACAGTATCTCTACTTCCTTCCATCTAAGCCAATGATAGGAACCATTCCTATCTGAAGTGGAAGTGTATTACTATAAACAGAAGTCGAAGGAATTACAAAAAAACAAGGGCCAAGCTCCACGTTTTCTCCCTCCCTGTATATAAAATTCTATCTTCTTTTCCCTTTCTATAACTAACTCCTCGCTTCCCCAAATAGTGATTCCCGGAAGCTTGTGCTAGTCTCAGGCACATAGGCCTTGGACCTCCTAGTGTAGACCAAAAGAGGTTTCTCACTTGTAGGTTGTGCAAGAACTATAGGTAATGGGTTACCATCAATACCGTCCTCTCTAGTTTCTGCCTTGTCCTCGAGACGGAAAGAAGGGAACTTCTCTTTGATCGTCTCTGCTGCCTCCCAAGTTGCCTCCTCGACTGGTTGAGCTTTCCAATGGATGAGCCACTCCAAAATTGTCTTTCCATTTCGCTGCTCTTCTCTTGTTGCCAGTATCGCTTCAGGAGCAACTGGTTCTTTTTTATCTACCTGCATGTCAGAGGTCCTTGAGTTCGACTATCTATGAAAGCAACAATTAACATAAATTAATGCTATCTGAAATGGAATTGTATTACTGTTTATTAAAGAGGAAGGGATTACAAGAAAATAAGGGCCAAACCCCAAAGCCACACACGCCTCTTGCCTCTTGGATCCGATCCAATCCAATCAAAATACTTAAAACATATCCACCCCACATTTATTCACTCTTAACCTATATATATATATATATATCAGGTTATATCTCCTTTCATCCTCCTATAACTAACTCCTCGCTTCTCCCCAACAGTGATTCACGTAAGTTTGTGCTGGCCCTTAGGAACTTGGACCTCCTAGTGTAAAATTTTGAGAGGTTTTAAGCTGTCCAAGAACCATACCAAATGGGTTCCCATAACTAACACCCTTCTGAACTAAAATTAAAAACCATCAACTATAAGATCGTAATTAAACATAAAAAAAGAAGTACAAATTATCAACTCAATATTTTGGACTGACTTAAAGAATATTACTTTGAATGGACTAATAATGACATGTATAGACCAACATACCCTTGTGGTGACACCATGAGTTGACATAACTTCATGCATCTTGCGCATAAGCATTTCTTCTTCAACCTAAAAAAAAATCACAAATTTCCATAATTCATGTCAATCTAGATGATCAGAAGAACATGGTTTCGATGTAATGGTCATCAGAGAAAAGATCAAATGAAGTTAATTATGTCTTGAAATATTGACACACTTCTCCCCAAGCTGAAAAAGATGGTGTAACATTACAGTCACCATGCTATCAAATGAGGAGGTGGGGGATTCAACTTGAAAGTAGGCGGACTGACAAACCCACATTTTAAAGTTTGTTTGACCAAATAAGCATGCCAGTCAGAAATGAAACAGATATATCACAAATAGTCCTATAATGGAATGAGGCTTTCCAACAAACCATCAAAAAGTGTATCATAAACATACAATTTAAAAGATAAATCCGATAAAGAGCTGATAACATCGATGAACAAAGGGATATGGGAAAGAATGAGAAGTTGCATGAGATAAAAATAAGATGTCAAATGAATTAGATCTGTAAGATAAATTGTTCTTTATTTGGAGCAGGAGACTGATATCAAGTGAACTAGAATCACGTGCTAATTAATAAAAATGAAAATTCTATTAATCAGACCAACAAAAATAACATCCTTCCATTATCAATTCCAAACAAATTGAGATCATGTCTCAAAAGAAAAATAAACAAAGCAATGTTTAGTTATTTTTTGCTAAACCGGTGGCAGAATAAAAAGTGGAGAAAAAAAATACAAGTCAAGTGATGCAAAAACTGAAACCCTAGAAAGCAAATTGCAAATTGGAAAATCAAAACAGCAGAGATGTAAAAACCTGAAGTTTCCGTAATTCATGGAACATCGATCTGTATGCTTCCATAAGGACCTCATTCTGCCTATCCATGTGCCTGTTAAAGCAGAATCATAAATTAAGAGCAGTTCAAGTACAGTAAGCAGAAGCACAATCAAAATAGTGAAGAAGTGTTGGTTGAAGGAGATGTACTTCAATAACTCCCCAGTATGTCTTGGGTCAAAATTTCGGAATTCCATATTGGTAATAAAAATTGATTATCCAATCTGAGTAGGGGCTCGTGGGAATGCCGAGAGATTCTTATAAATCACACAGCCACACACCTTCTCCGATCTTCTACAGAAACAGACAGCAACAAAATCAAATTTGCAAAACTTGAAAGCTTCAACAAAAAAGGTCAAATTTTAATTTTAGCAAAACTTTTCTTAATAATGTTAGGTATAACCAGGGTTAAGTCTTAAAATAAAGATTTACTAAACTCTAGAGGTTAATACAATACAAAAAATAAAATATAAAAGATACTATATGATAGATCAGATCAATTTGGGTCATCAAAATCAGTTCGAGACCCAAAACAATAGATCAGACTTGGGTTGTTCATGTTCTCAAATCAGTCCTATTTCAGCTTTGAAAGACATGACTCCATAAGTGGCTTGGAATAGAATTAAACCTTCAGATCTGCATTTTCGAGTTTTTGGATGTATCTCACATGTACATATGCCAGATGCTAAAAGGAAAAAATTCGAAGACAAAAGTTTAGTTATGTGTTGTTCGAAGTCGGTGAAGAATCTAAAGCCTAGAATTTTATGATCCAGCATTAAAAAAAGTTATAGTGAGTCGAGATGTCATGTTTGAAGAAGAAAACTCCTGGGATTGGAATGACAGTTATAAGGAGTTAATCAGAGTTGACATGGAGTGGAGTGAAAATGAAGGACAAGCTACCTTGGACAATGACACCAAGGAAGATGGTGAAGGGGATAATGATGCAGAAGATAATGAAGGAAACAATGAAGCAGAAGAACTGGAAACATGTTCATCAAGCAACATGAATAATGTGAGCTCATGTAGCTCCAATGAGAGATGATCAAGAAGAAGACCAACCTGGATAGATGACTATGTAAATGGGGATGACCTTCTCAAGAACACGGTGTTGTCCATACCCATTGATCCTATGCATTTTGGAGAGGCTGTAAAGAGTGAGATGCGGAGAACGACATTGGATGGAGAACGACATTGGATGGTGCGATGAAAACTATCAAGAAGTGACACTTGGACTATGACTGATCTTCCAAAACATGACAAAAAGATCAATGTTAAGTGGGTTTATAAAACAAAACTTCACAAAAATGAGGAGCTCACACCTAGTAGCTAAAGGTATAACAATATGGAATTGACTACACAAATGGACAGATTCAAATGATTATTGCTCTTGCTGGGCTGGGCAGTATACCAATTAGATGTAAAGTCCGCATTTCTACATGGTAAGCTTAATGAAGATGTTTTTGCGGAACAACCAAGGGGCTATGAGAAGAAAAATAATCCAGACAAGGTCTATAAGTTAAAAAGGGTTCTCTACGAGCTTAAACAAGCTCTACAGTCTTGGTTTAGCCAAATAGAAGCTTATTTTGTGAAGGAGGAATTTGAAAAAATGTCGCAGTGAGCACTCTTTGTTTGTTAAAATGAGTGAAGAGTGTAAAGTTCTGATTATCAGCCTTTACATTGATGATATCTTATTTTACTGGAAATGATGAGTCTATGTTTCAAGATTTTAAAAATCAATGATGATGCATGAATTTGATATGCCTGATCTTGGAAGGATGAGATACTTTCTTGGTATGGAGATACTGCAAAAAGTAACATACATAAAAATTATTAATCATAAACTCATCCCAACACATAGTAATCAACCCAGATAAAGAATATACAAACATATTTCTGATGCACGTATCAAACTTATCAAAGTCTGGAAATATCTAATACCCTTCGTCAGTCTAACCATTACAATCAGTCCAAATGATCCTAGCACGGTTGATGCTATAAAATACGGCTATCCAAATGTGTCCCGTCAGAGCACCAAATACGAGAGAAACAACACTTCATCAATCAGACATGCATGAATGATGAAAATAGGTTTATTTAAAACATTCATGAAGATCGCCGGGCAAGGGTCCTAGGCAGCGGCGCCACCGACTATTTATGGAAATTTTCGCATCAATAAAGGATTCACAATTTTGAAACTAAAGAACTTATTGAAAAGCACAAAGTATAGTGATGATGACATTGTTCTTCTAATCTTAGAGAGAAGCATGAATGAAATCAAAACTGACCTGGAATGCGTTCGCGAAGGTCACGAATGATGCGTTGAAGTTCTGATCAGCACTACCACACTGCGAAGTGATCTTCAATGGCTTCGCTAGGGTTTCTCTCTTTCTAAGCGTAGTATAACGTTGGTGAATGAATGGAAACGATACAAAATCCCCATACTACCCCTCGTTAAAAATATAATAAATATCTTTATAACTCCTTATTTTTTAAATTTTCAAAGTGAATGTTTCGAAAAGCAGACCTCGAAAATTCCTTTCGAAATATTTAATAAAAAAAATTCAGAACAACTTTTTCAAAATATATTTCAGAATTTGAAAATACCTTCCAGTTGTTTAAATTTTTTTTTTCTATTATGGAAATATAAAAAACATTTTTAGAACATGTGTTTTGAAAGTCATTTCTAAATTTAAAATTACATTCCAAAATATTTATTTTTAATTTTTTTGTTTTAAAATAATTATTATGGAAGGCATTTTCAGATTTAAGAATATCTTTCAAAATATTTAACCTAAAATAAAAAATAAAATTCCAGAAAAGGTATTTCGAAAATGATTTTTGGAACTTCTGTTTCGAATATTTTTTGTATTTCATAATATATTTTTTAGTCCAAAATGTATTTTTAATCTGAAAATACTTTTTTAAAATAATTATTTTAGAATAAAAAAATATTTCTGAAAATCATTTTTGGATTCCGGAACACCTCTTCCAAAATGTAAATTTTCCTAAGAACAGTAAATCCTACCCCGTTTTTACATTTCTATTGTTATAGTTTAGTTAAGGTTTTAATATTATTTAATAAAGGGGTAAAATGGTGATTAAAATTTTTATAGGTGTGCCGTGAGAAAAAAAAGGTGTACAGAAAGTAGTAGCCCTCAACCCCTTCCACAGTCGCAGGCCTAGAATCAGAGGTTTGTTAACTTAAACTTTTACTTGAAGGTTACTCCCTACACCGCTTCATTTTGCTCCCTGCATCACCATATTTTTTTAAAATTCCAAAACTATCCTTTATATTTTAAAATATCCTACACCCCATCTCTTTTCTTCAACGGATGTCAACATCCGTTGAAAAAAAATTCTTCCACGAACGTGTCACATCCGTTAACGGATGTGGCGACATCCGTTGCCTTTTTTTGTTTTTTAGTTTTTAGTTTTTTTTATTTTTTTTGTTTTAAATTAATATATAAATATTATTTAATTATTTTAAAATTATTACTTAATTATTTATAAATTAAATTTATTTTATTTAATAAAGTAATTATTATTAATTTTAATTTATGTATTATTATTTAAATAATAATTAAAAAATTTATTATACATATATTAAAATGGACGTGCCACATTCGTTGCTTTTTTTGTTTTTTAGTTTAGTTTTTTTATTTTTTTTGTTTTAAATTAATATATAAATATAATTTAATTATTTTAAAATTATTACTTAATTATTTATAAATTAATTTTATTTTATTTAATAAAATAATTATTATTATTTTAATTTATGTATTATTATTTAAATAATAAATAAAAAACATTTTAAAAATCTATTAAACGGATGTGGCCACACCCGTTGAAGGTTTTTTTTTTAAATAAAAATAATAAACAAAAATATAAAATATGTAAATGGATGTTACAGATGTCAACATCCGTCGAAGGTGAAACGGATGTTGACATCCATTTTATAGAAAGACAAATAAGGTATGAGAAAGTGTAGGGAGCGGTTGGTGGTGGTGGAGGGAGCAACTCTCCTTTTACTTTGAACCAACCATCTTTTAACTTACTTATGTACAACTCTCATACCTGCTTTTGACACCTCAGCATGTGGAGGAATTATTAAAATATAATCTGTCCATCGAGTTTAAATAAAAAATCTCATTCTTTTCAAATACATTCAAGATATTTTAGAAAATTTAGAATAGTCTATCAAAAAATACATTCTTAGTAGTGATTTACGAATTAGGTAGTTAATAATGGTTTTTTAGAATTATAGTCTAATTATAATATTTTGAGATTATGCAATAATAATCTATATTATAAAATCAAGAAATTTTAACATTAAGCAATTAATTGATTACCATAGCATTATGATAAGGATATTTTGATTATTTTATATTAAATTTGATCAACCTAACTTTGATAATATCTTAATATCTAAAATGTCATTGCAGATTTCACATTTATGTTACTTAAACAACCAATTGAAACTTAAATGATATACAAATTAAAAACAATATAATTTAACCGTTTTATTTATTCTAATATATCAATCACAAGTACTTGATGCAACAAATAACATATATATTTATCATAACAAAAAAACAACAACACTTATTAACACTTAAATTCAACTGAAAACAAAACATTTTAATAATTGGAATTCTAACTCAAATAAACAATTAATAATCTAACATTTAGTATATAAGTTCATACTATTTTATACAATTTTAATATAATCTAAGAATAGTTCAATTTCTCTTATTTAAAACTTTCTTGCTTTCTAATAGAAAAATAACTTTCACTGAGAGAAAGTATCATAAATTTTCAAAATATCAAAAAGTCCTTATATTATTGAACCAATACAATTAACAAGAAATATTTTTGAACTTGCAAAACACTACTGTATTCATAAATAGAAAAAAAAATTAAAAAGTATTTCAAGTAAGAGAAAGACTTATTCTAAAACAAATTCTAACTTAAATGTGTAGTCTCCTAATTAATGAAATGTGATGAAAAGGAAATTAACAACCAATTTCAAAAATAAAAGAAAGAAAGAATATATAGTTTGTTTAGAAGTTGAAACGTTTTTTAAATTAATAACTAAATAACTTTAATTTTAATTATATGCTTAAATATAATTTAAAATTTTAACATTTATTCTTTTGAAAATTATCCCTTCTAAATCAGAAGAAAAATTGAAATTAATAACTAAATAATTCTAATTTTAATTTATATCCTTAAATATAATTTAAAGTTTTAACATTTATTTTTTTGAAAATTATCCCTTCTTAGAACAAAAAAAAATATTTTTACAGTATTTCTATTGGGTTATTAAATTTAAATTAATTCATTAACCAACATCCTTAATTAATACTGATAAAAATAATTTTCTCGATTTCTTTTAGACTGAAAATAATCTCAATTTTAGAAAAAAAAAAACCCATCCCAGTAAATGCCAACCATATATGTAACAAAAGTTTAAAAATCAATAGAGAAAGTACTCAACATAATGAACAGAATTAATAATTAGCATAGGACATACAGATAATTTATTTAATATTATAAATCCCAAATAAAGAAAAAAGAATGTACAATTTTATTTACCATAAAAGCAAATAAATCCAAAAAGTCATAATTTGTTAAGCATTTGTTCAGATTCTTTTTAGGTAACGAAACATACTTACACATATTATGAACACATATTGATATTAATATTATTTTATTTTATTTTTTTCACCAACATTGAATGCATTAATTTATTTATAATATACTAAAAGTTAAACATTGGCACCACACCAAACATTACACAGAAGATGGTTATGCAGTATATAAAGGTTGTTTTATAACCTATGATTTTTTCAATAATCTAAAGCTAAGGTGTGAATGCATACATAGATTAGGATTTAGGACAAAAGACAGAGACATGAATGTGACAAATAAGCCAAACCCAGATGGTTCCACCAATGGGTTTCAGTCTCAGCTTCAACAGCAACACAGTAATTCTTGGGAGGGATCATCTACACATCCACCCACTAAGCCTTATCCTGCACCAACGGCTAGCTACCAGGACATTGTTCGTGATGAAAACCTCTTCTGGGAAAAGCTCCAAGCTTTTCATCAATCACTTGGTACCAAATTTAAGTAAGGAGTACCATGTTTCAATTGCCCTCTTTTAGTGTGTTTTTTGCTACTGATTTATGCTTTCTTTCCTTTGTGGGGTTGGTTAGTTGGATTGTGGGAGTGTAAATTTACCTGCTTTTGGTGTTTTGTTATCATTTTTAGCTCATGGTGAAAAATGAAATTGTGAAAATTACTTTTTTTTCCTCTTTATATGGCCGCGTAGTTTAGAGTTCTAAAGCTTGACTGTTTTGTTAATGGTCATGGAAATTTGCCATGGTTAAGTTAACTTTTTGCCATGCTTGTTGAGATTTGCCTTGGCTTGCTCTATTGGATGGACAATTGGGCAAGTTGTGGTTAATTGATTTTCTTGAAGGTTTGGTTTTGAAGGTTGCCTGGTTTTAATGGGTTTGTTAGTTCCTTCAATCCTTCTTATTGGTTTTATAGTACATATGTTGTTCTCTGCTGTCTATGTTTTGCTCTTAGGTGCACATAGGGCATGTGAGAATGATGCAGAACTGTAATGGAATTAAAATTGATGCTACTTTTATCTTTTCTTTTGGGTAGGGTTGTTATTGTGGGAGGAAAGTCACTGGATCTACATCGCCTTTTTGTGGAAGTTACATCTCGGGGTGGGATTGAAAAGGTATGCTATGCATACATCATTCTCTATTAATTGTTGAAAATCAGCCCCTTTGTGTCATGAAGCATATGTGTATTATTTTCTTTGTTTATTTTACCCCTTTCTTTATGATCTGATATATATGGTGCTGATTGTAGAGATTTTAAGACTGCAATTAATCTGTGATGCAGCTCTGTGATCTTAAAATTTTTTGTTGGAATCATTTATCTCTTTGAAATAGCTGTTTAAAAATGATCCTCCTAAGCTATTTCTTAAATTCATATAGGTGATTATTGATCGTAAGTGGAAGGAAGTGATTCTGGCCTTCAATTTCAAAGATACCATAACGAGTGCATCATTTGTGGTGCGAAAATCCTATCTATCCATGCTTTATCACTTTGAGCAAGTGTATTATTTTGGGAGGCAAGGCTTTCCTCCCCAAACACCTGGTATGGAATATGAATTCCTTTTCCCTTTCGTGTTAGAGATCTCACCTTAGTATTATAACGAAAATGGAGTATATAAGTTAGGGACAACTCTCACATTTTTAGCATGTCTTTGTGTTGAATTAGGCTCAAATTTAAATTCTAAAAGAGTACAAGAATCTATTCCAGTGATTGTTGTAGGGCCTCGAGGGTTGAGATGTTCAACTCTTAGTGCTGGAAGGATGTTGGAAATCTCATATTAACTAATAGTATAACAAAAATAGATTGTATAAGTGCAATACAACTCACTTTTCTTGAGCTGGTTTTTAGGACAATCCAAATTCTAAGACCTCTCTAGTTATGTTGTGGATTTTTTCCATCTTTGACAAATCAATACTTTCAAATATCCAGATATTATGATTAGAGGCCAACCAGGCCTTTCCAATGGCTCCACAACCATTCTCGAGGTTACTGATGTGAATGATTCACCTGTTCAGGGTAAGTCAACATTGACATCTGATTACTGCTTTGATGCTTCATATCTTCATTTGAATCTATATATTTGTTATTATAAAACAGTGGTTAATAACAGAAAGTCATAATCTCCAAATTACTGAGAAATTTATGTAAGACCACTTTTTAATAGAATTTATGTGTGGAAGAATCAATTTTGAAAAACATTCCTTTTAGTAGGTAGTGTCCTCTGTCTAACCTATAGTAACTTGTAAGAATCACCCATTTGGACGGTAGAAGTTTAATAAATTTGGGTGTGAAATTTCCCAAATGAAAGTTAATGCTTTTTGTTTTGTGAGAACGTATTGTACTTTAAAAATTAGTTACTTGTGCTACCAGGCCGGTACAACATACTAACTTTACTTCATAACTGATAGCCGTAAATACCATGAGATTGGTTTTTGTTGTCAACTATAAGCAAGTTGAGGATAACACACCTACATGCAGTTATCTATAGAATGCTTTAATGTGCTGTGAAAATTCATTTATTTGTTCATGTCCTGCAACTAATATTAGCAAATATCTGCTTCTGTTCTTTGACAATTTGTTTCTTCAATTTTCACTTTACTTGGTTTGTAGCTTTATGTTCATCTAATCTATGGTTAAAATACTCTTCATGCATAATTGTGACATGAGTTTGCTTTCTTATATGCAGTTACTCCAGTTCAGGGATATGATGCGGTGCTTTCTGGAACAATTGATGTGAAATTTGACGGTGGATACGTAGTCACAGTGACTGTGGGTTCTGAGGAGCTGAAAGGTGTCCTGTTTCATGTTCCAGATAACATGTCCCAGAGTTCTCATACGGAAGGCAATCCTAGCTCACAGAATCATGGTGAAGGCACATCTGGGTCACAGAGTCGAAAGAGAGCAAAATATACACCACGTGATCCATTCCGGCCGAAGTCAAACAGGAGCGGTTACAACTTTTTCTTTGCTGAGAATTATGCCATGCTGAAGCCCTCTTATCACGGGCAAGAGAGAGCTATTAGTAAGAGGATTGGGTTTCTGTGGAACAATCTGTCAGAAGCAGAAAGACAGGTACAGAAGAACTCCGTTTTGCATTGACAATGTTTTCATGCTTTAGTTTTGTTTTGCTGCTGATTGCTATCAACTTCTCATACCAGTCTGTGACATACATAATGAAGATGAAGTGAAAGAAATGGGAAAGTTATATCTNTTATATGCTTAAATATAATTTAAAATTTTAACATTTATTCTTTTGAAAATTATCCCTTCTAAATCAGAAGAAAAATTGAAATTAATAACTAAATAATTCTAATTTTAATTTATATCCTTAAATATAATTTAAAGTTTTAACATTTATTTTTTTGAAAATTATCCCTTCTTAGAACAAAAAAAAATATTTTTACAGTATTTCTATTGGGTTATTAAATTTAAATTAATTCATTAACCAACATCCTTAATTAATACTGATAAAAATAATTTTCTCGATTTCTTTTAGACTGAAAATAATCTCAATTTTAGAAAAAAAAAAACCCATCCCAGTAAATGCCAACCATATATGTAACAAAAGTTTAAAAATCAATAGAGAAAGTACTCAACATAATGAACAGAATTAATAATTAGCATAGGACATACAGATAATTTATTTAATATTATAAATCCCAAATAAAGAAAAAAGAATGTACAATTTTATTTACCATAAAAGCAAATAAATCCAAAAAGTCATAATTTGTTAAGCATTTGTTCAGATTCTTTTTAGGTAACGAAACATACTTACACATATTATGAACACATATTGATATTAATATTATTTTATTTTATTTTTTTCACCAACATTGAATGCATTGATTTATTTATAATATACTAAAAGTTAAACATTGGCACCACACCAAACATTACACAGAAGATGGTTATGCAGTATATAAAGGTTGTTTTATAACCTATGATTTTTTCAATAATCTAAAGCTAAGGTGTGAATGCATACATAGATTAGGATTTAGGACAAAAGACAGAGACATGAATGTGACAAATAAGCCAAACCCAGATGGTTCCACCAATGGGTTTCAGTCTCAGCTTCAACAGCAACACAGTAATTCTTGGGAGGGATCATCTACACATCCACCCACTAAGCCTTATCCTGCACCAACGGCTAGCTACCAGGACATTGTTCGTGATGAAAACCTCTTCTGGGAAAAGCTCCAAGCTTTTCATCAATCACTTGGTACCAAATTTAAGTAAGGAGTACCATGTTTCAATTGCCCTCTTTTAGTGTGTTTTTTGCTACTGATTTATGCTTTCTTTCCTTTGTGGGGTTGGTTAGTTGGATTGTGGGAGTGTAAATTTACCTGCTTTTGGTGTTTTGTTATCATTTTTAGCTCATGGTGAAAAATGAAATTGTGAAAATTACTTTTTTTTCCTCTTTATATGGCCGCGTAGTTTAGAGTTCTAAAGCTTGACTGTTTTGTTAATGGTCATGGAAATTTGCCATGGTTAAGTTAACTTTTTGCCATGCTTGTTGAGATTTTCCTTGGCTTGCTCTATTGGATGGACAATTGGGCAAGTTGTGGTTAATTGATTTTCTTGAAGGTTTGGTTTTGAAGGTTGCCTGGTTTTAATGGGTTTGTTAGTTCCTTCAATCCTTCTTATTGGTTTTATAGTACATATGTTGTTCTCTGCTGTCTATGTTTTGCTCTTAGGTGCACATAGGGCATGTGAGAATGATGCAGAACTGTAATGGAATTAAAATTGATGCTACTTTTATCTTTTCTTTTGGGTAGGGTTGTTATTGTGGGAGGAAAGTCACTGGATCTACATCGCCTTTTTGTGGAAGTTACATCTCGGGGTGGGATTGAAAAGGTATGCTATGCATACATCATTCTCTATTAATTGTTGAAAATCAGCCCCTTTGTGTCATGAAGCATATGTGTATTATTTTCTTTGTTTATTTTACCCCTTTCTTTATGATCTGATATATATGGTGCTGATTGTAGAGATTTTAAGACTGCAATTAATCTGTGATGCAGCTCTGTGATCTTAAAATTTTTTGTTGGAATCATTTATCTCTTTGAAATAGCTGTTTAAAAATGATCCTCCTAAGCTATTTCTTAAATTCATATAGGTGATTATTGATCGTAAGTGGAAGGAAGTGATTCTGGCCTTCAATTTCAAAGATACCATAACGAGTGCATCATTTGTGGTGCGAAAATCCTATCTATCCATGCTTTATCACTTTGAGCAAGTGTATTATTTTGGGAGGCAAGGCTTTCCTCCCCAAACACCTGGTATGGAATATGAATTCCTTTTCCCTTTCGTGTTAGAGATCTCACCTTAGTATTATAACGAAAATGGAGTATATAAGTTAGGGACAACTCTCACATTTTTAGCATGTCTTTGTGTTGAATTAGGCTCAAATTTAAATTCTAAAAGAGTACAAGAATCTATTCCAGTGATTGTTGTAGGGCCTCGAGGGTTGAGATGTTCAACTCTTAGTGCTGGAAGGATGTTGGAAATCTCATATTAACTAATAGTATAACAAAAATAGATTGTATAAGTGCAATACAACTCACTTTTCTTGAGCTGGTTTTTAGGACAATCCAAATTCTAAGACCTCTCTAGTTATGTTGTGGATTTTTTCCATCTTTGACAAATCAATACTTTCAAATATCCAGATATTATGATTAGAGGCCAACCAGGCCTTTCCAATGGCTCCACAACCATTCTCGAGGTTACTGATGTGAATGATTCACCTGTTCAGGGTAAGTCAACATTGACATCTGATTACTGCTTTGATGCTTCATATCTTCATTTGAATCTATATATTTGTTATTATAAAACAGTGGTTAATAACAGAAAGTCATAATCTCCAAATTACTGAGAAATTTATGTAAGACCACTTTTTAATAGAATTTATGTGTGGAAGAATCAATTTTGAAAAACATTCCTTTTAGTAGGTAGTGTCCTCTGTCTAACCTATAGTAACTTGTAAGAATCACCCATTTGGACGGTAGAAGTTTAATAAATTTGGGTGTGAAATTTCCCAAATGAAAGTTAATGCTTTTTGTTTTGTGAGAACGTATTGTACTTTAAAAATTAGTTACTTGTGCTACCAGGCCGGTACAACATACTAACTTTACTTCATAACTGATAGCCGTAAATACCATGAGATTGGTTTTTGTTGTCAACTATAAGCAAGTTGAGGATAACACACCTACATGCAGTTATCTATAGAATGCTTTAATGTGCTGTGAAAATTCATTTATTTGTTCATGTCCTGCAACTAATATTAGCAAATATCTGCTTCTGTTCTTTGACAATTTGTTTCTTCAATTTTCACTTTACTTGGTTTGTAGCTTTATGTTCATCTAATCTATGGTTAAAATACTCTTCATGCATAATTGTGACATGAGTTTGCTTTCTTATATGCAGTTACTCCAGTTCAGGGATATGATGCGGTGCTTTCTGGAACAATTGATGTGAAATTTGACGGTGGATACGTAGTCACAGTGACTGTGGGTTCTGAGGAGCTGAAAGGTGTCCTGTTTCATGTTCCAGATAACATGTCCCAGAGTTCTCATACGGAAGGCAATCCTAGCTCACAGAATCATGGTGAAGGCACATCTGGGTCACAGAGTCGAAAGAGAGCAAAATATACACCACGTGATCCATTCCGGCCGAAGTCAAACAGGAGCGGTTACAACTTTTTCTTTGCTGAGAATTATGCCATGCTGAAGCCCTCTTATCACGGGCAAGAGAGAGCTATTAGTAAGAGGATTGGGTTTCTGTGGAACAATCTGTCAGAAGCAGAAAGACAGGTACAGAAGAACTCCGTTTTGCATTGACAATGTTTTCATGCTTTAGTTTTGTTTTGCTGCTGATTGCTATCAACTTCTCATACCAGTCTGTGACATACATAATGAAGATGAAGTGAAAGAAATGGGAAAGTTATATCTATCTGGACTAGTTTTTCAGGGACATGATTATTTTCCTTCTTTTTCCCTCCATTTATCTCTTACTAACCAAGCAAATTTTGGATTGACTTCTACTTTAAGATTCAGAATATTAATGACATGTCTTCTATTTTTCTACTTTGGATTTTCTATGCAATCTTACCTTGATGCTACATACTTTGTTGCTTGTTGAATTTCCATTTAATGTACCTATTATTGAAATGGTTCCTAATCTTGATATGTGTTAGGTCTCAAAACAGTTTCTTTTCTCTTTTTTTGTACACATGGCTAGATTCTTAGCCATTCTAAGATCATTTTGACATTTGAGAGAATGTTCTCCAACAAGTTTTATATTATATAGCCAACTGTTTTTCTATTTGCTTATGGAATCTATAAGGGATAATGTTTCTATTTAGTATTAAAAATGCATTTCATGCTAACCAAAGTTCAATCATTTGTCTTGTGTATGTGTGAATTTGATGCAGGTTTATCAAGAGAAAGGGGTGAAAGATAAGGAAAGATATAGAACTGAACTGATGGAATACAAATCCAACAATTCAACTCCAAATACTCAATAGGCTGTTTTGTGTGATTTCATATGGTTTACTTTTTGTTCATTGCATTTGTCTTTGTTTTAGTTAATTTTCTTATGATGATTCTACAGAGAAACTTAGAAGAGTAGCTTTGTGACAATTCTGGTGTAAATTATGCAGAATGGTTTTGAATTTTATAGTGCCATGTTGTAGCAGTTCATTTATTGTCGTTATTCTAAAACAAAGGATCCTTCATTCAATTTAAACCTTTTATTTGTAAGTTTACATTTCATCCCAAGATGCTCAAGTTTTAGATGTATTATACCTTAGGAATCAAAAATTGGTGAAATTTATTAAATTGAAAATATTTTAATTTTGTATTAATTTATAATTACTAGAGCAAATTTGTCACTGGTAAAAGTTAAATAATTCATGATTAATTACAAAAACATTTTTCAGTATTAGAAAATTAAATGACATATTCTATGTTGTTTTAACATTTATACAATATGAAAGTGATGACGGCAGCACTGATGTGGTGCAGTCAGAAAGGTTAGTTTAGTCATTTTCATGTTAGTATAGGGTGCATTTAGTAACGATGGGGTGCACGAAGCA